ATTGCTACGATGCTAACCTCATTACCACAAAACCGCTGTTCAACCCGACATCTTAATGTAAATTTCGATCAAGAGGCCAAGCCAATATGTAAAATTAGTTCTCAGACCTCTCGCACCATTGAACCCTTGTACTTTCAAGGATTTTGGGCTTCATTGGGACCCGAAAGACTAAGCGTAACTTTGTTTCGTTGGAGATTTATATGCACCCACTTTTAACTTGCTAAAAGGTATAGATAATAGCTGTATTCAAAATTAGAAATTATCCACCTCAGTGCCAAGCGAGTTTTCCTGAATAGACCATTTTTTGTGCATTATTTTACGTTATTTTATTTTTCTGAGCAATAGATCTGGCCCTCGCAAGAGGTTCATATGTTTTTAATAGTGCTTCATGAGATATTCGTAAATCATGTATTCACATATTTGTTCATCATAAGCAGGTTAGATTTAGTTTTCTATTTCTTTTCTTATTGTAAAGTGCCATTGGGCTAAATGGAAATGGCGCTACATAAATTTTGTAATTATTATTATTGTCATTGTTATTGTTATTAGTATTATTATTATTTCATTTATAAATAATGCTGATTAGAGGGCCTGTTCCTACACTTTCTACTTCCTATGTAGAATAAGTACGTTTAGTCGTAGACGCTGCGTGGTAGTAGGCAATAAATTAGGATGGGTCAACTAATTCACGATTTTTCAAGAGTATTAACTAAAAGATAACTTTTCAATGTTTTTGTGATTAGAAATTAGCTTTTTAGCGATTGCCAGGATAAATGAAATAGATTTCTATGTTTGTTTTAAACATTTTGTGTCATAATTTGTTGGGTACGAATTGACCAGAGAGTTGGGCACGAACTAATCGAAAGTACGTACGAAACGTCTAAGCCTGGGCACAAATCGTCTGGGTACGAAAGATCCATGGGTACGAAACGACTGGATACCATGTATTTACCTATTTGTTCATCATTAGCAGGTTAGATTTACTTTTCTATTTCTTTTTTGATTGTAAAGCGCCGTTGGGCTACATGGAAATGGCGCTAAATAAATTTTGTTGTTGTTATTATAATTATTATTATTGTTATTATTATTATTATTATTATTATTATTATTGTTATAATTATTATAATGAATTCATTTATAAATAATGCTGATTAGAGGGCCTGTTCCCATACCGTACACGATTGTTTAACATTCCTTTCGGCTGACATTTCATAAGCGAAGAATGGTGAGCTCCTTATTGTTGTTTATTTCACGCGCTTGAGATGTACTCATACTCCTTGTCTTTCCACATGACTACACTTGCGCTTTTCTTATTGTAGGAAAATCCTATCAACTGTAGTTCCATCGTATTTTGATAAAAGAAATATATCATTTGTAATAAAGTTCAAGCCCTTTCCTGCGCTGACCGACAACACTATCCAACAGTTCCAAATCTCCAAACCTTACAAAAAATCCCTATGAGCAAGTGGCACTTAGTACAGCAACAACCATTGCTAAGAGAAATCCTCAAAAAACCGATAATATCGTACAAAAACAAATGATCACTCAGACATACTCGTGAGAGAAAATTGCGAGGGCGAGAAAACTGAATATACCATAGTGTTTCGTGTAAACATTTGTAGCTAATACAGAGAAAACTGGACGTACTACTGAATCATCTAGGCATGTCAACCTCAATTTACACGGGAGCATTAATTAAGCCCGTTTCTAAAGCAAAGAAATACTTTTTATTAGCTCGCCTATACCTGTCTCAACCCCTATCCCGCATTCGAATCGGAGAATGTCCCGGTCTCGCCTTTCTATCTTCATCCCGCATCTCGCCTTTAAAGTATCTCGTATTCTACATCCCGCCTCGATTTTAAGCCTCATCCTGCATCCTGCCAAGCCTATGTTGGACCCTCTCTACCACTTTCATTCAGTATACGGGATTCACTATCAGATTTAATACACTGAGCACGCAGGAAATCTACGGAGAGCGCGTTAAAGTTGTTAAAAATTTTTTGATTACCTTCATAACTAAGATGCAGTCCATCCTTGATTAGGCCATTCTCTGTGATCTTCAGATGCTGGATAAGTTTCCATCCATTGTGACCGCAGTAGCTCTTTGGATGTTTATTCGCATCTTTCACTGCTCTATTGAATTCATCCCTTGTGGAAGTAAGCCTCGATATAGCGGAGGTGGCGTCGGATGAATTTTCGATGGGTCTATGATCGACTCAGCATCTTGCAACACTTTTTATATTTAAGGTTATTGGAGCCGACATAGAGAACGACTCGGTCTGGCGAATGCTTCAGGCTAGCTTTGAGGTTGGCCTTCATAGCTTTTGAGGTGGCCCTACAGAATAACTTGACCACTGCTTGATGGCCAACGGCTTTTTCTTGCTTTTTACACCATATGTTTGTCTTTGTTAAGGAAGCTCCAATTGATAGGGTTGTACATCAGTGTTGTAGCCACAAATGCTCGTTACATGTCCAACTTCACTTCCAAAATGGCTAAACGAAACGAAGTTCAGTAATAAATACGTAACCGGTTGCAAGAAATGGATTACAAGTTATGGTTGTCACAATTCAAGGTAAAGAATTTAACAAACGAGAAACAAAAATAAAGGAAAACAAAAGACACTTACAAACGTCGTACGAGATCTGGGTCAACTGCCAAATTAAAGACGATGTAAAGCGACGTAAAGCGGCGTAAAGCGATCGACAGAGACGGTATAAACAGTTAGATGGTTCGAATAGTTAAACGGTTGATCCAAATGAATAAAATCCGCGGTAAAGACTAATACAAGGGATATAAACAAAAGGCAATTATGCAGGAAAGAGTAACAGAATATTGATGAAAGTTATGCGCACAGAACAAAAGGCGTGAATGAACTGTGACAAAAAAAGAGTACGAATTTGTAATCAATCGAACTTTTGGCGGCAACAGTAATGGAATTATCGGAGACCTTAGCAACAGACTGTGTCCCATCCTCATTGTTCCTTTGTTTTTGTTTTTTAAATCTTTTTCTTTTCCTTGCTAACAACTTGGCATTGGTTGCGCATTTGTATTGTCAGAAGGTATTTCTGACTCCTCCTCATTAATTGGATTCATTGCCACTGAATGACGGACAAAATGGCGGCAGTGGTGGTTTGCTGCTTGGGAACGGAGTATTTAAAAATGGCTGGAGCGTTACAATAACATGTATGGAACAATGAACTAAATTGAAAAATAAAAATACCTCGAGATGCTGCACATGTTTCCCCAACCTCTCATTTTTTTTCAGAACATCTGACAAATTCGAAAATATAAATAGATAAATCAACGAGACTTCTTTGTAAGGTCCAAATGCATATCAAATAGGGTGTTTTTTGCTCCAGCGTAACTCCTTCAAGTGTCTGAGCTTGTCTGAGATATCCTCAATCAAAGGTCGTAAGGGTAGGCATCTTATGACAAAAAGTGGTTCCCCGAACTCGCACAACATTCTCCTGTTGTTACAGTTTCTTTTAATGTATTTCGCGGCTTCCGCCCATGCAGGAAATGAGTTTCAAGGGAACTTACAAAAAGGCAAATTTTATCCTGTAAATACGTCTGCAAATGGGCCGATATGAGTGTGTGTGGAGTTCGAGAAACCACTGTGGTCTTGCGCAAAATTCCTTTACGACGGGCTTCCATCTTCTTTCTCCCAAAACAAACTTTGTAGCCTGGCTTATTCGGCTGTTTAGATAAGCCATGTGTGTGGGCACAGAATGTATACCTATTGAAAGAACTGGAGATTTGAATGAACCGTTCATCAGACACGTGCGTTCTAATACATCGAGGAACTGGGACTTGTTATAGAAAGCATAGATTTACACTCTTTTAAATTTGATTTCAGAAATGCAGATTTCCTTCACATAAAATATAAGAAACCCAAAATACATCACAGCAATGTCAGATGTAATTTCAAGGTACATGCAGAGAAGCTATGAATGGAAAATCTCTGTCCCAGATCCAACTTTATCATATATAAAACAGGCAGTAAATATATCATACCTATTACGAAAGATATGGCACAAAAATGTTCAGGATGGATGTGATTATATTGACTTTCTCAATGCCACGGTTTCCAGATCATGGTTTAGTGTTAGTTGAGATACAGGCTACCCTATCCGAGGCAAGGTAGAAAGAGAATCAAGAATTGTGGCAAGCAAATATGGGCAAACCAAAGGAAGAAAAAGGGAACAGCTTTAGTCAAAATATCTAACTTTAAGCATTCTACACAGTGAACTAGTGTCTATTGAGGGAGCGCAAAGGGACCTTCATCTCACAAGAGATGAGCTTTCAGACTGAAAGAAAAATTTTTAATGATCTAGAGGCAGAAACGCAAAAGCTGGTACATGAAATGAGGGATTTGCAAAGAAATACAGAGGAAGAAAGGACTCTGCAAAATGAACAAAACCCAACTTATTTCTCTCCTTCACTGACAACAGGGGAGGTATTGCTGCACAACTTCTATTTGGCTTGACCTTTATATCTCTTTGACTTGTATTCACTTGAAATTCTGCCACCTTTCAAAAGCTGAAAACCAGAGGAAATAAATATCAATCAAAATAGTAACTTAAAAGCACCTTTAAGCACATTCAGTTTCATATAAAAACATAATTTAATGTTATTGATGACAAGAATGTTGTACTATGTCTTAAATACATTCAAATGTAAAAACTGTATATCCTTCTTTAAAAGTACCTCTATCAACCAAATATCAATGCCTTGTTGGTGTTATAAAAATTATTAATTAGCTAAAAGTTAAGTTGGTAAATATTCTTCAATGCATGCTTTAGTATTAGTTCTGAGAGATACCATCTCAAGCGGCATTTTTGGTGCTTAAAGAAGTTTCCCTGCTTGCACGACAAAATGCTTTGGTGAGTTTCCAAGGTAAGCTTTTCGTCTTTAAAGGAAAATCATAGGCCTTTCCCTGGCCATGAAGGTCCAGATATATACCACCAATAATAGGGTGGAGACAACTTGTTAAAATCCTTTAAGCTGAGCATGGTGTATTTAGAATCCCTTGACGATATTCCTTTGCAGTTAAAAAATATCGATAGACATCATGCTCTGCCTATGTTAACTTTGCAAGCGTGCTGCACTTTGACAGCATTTGATTTTAAAGGTGACTTGACTGCCAGATAAAAGCCTATAAATGTTGAAGCAATTTCTCTTTCTGAGGGCTGTGGAGGCTTTTGATAAAGTCTAGAAGAGATTCAGAAAACAGATTTATTAGACAAAAAAAATTCGTTTAAAACGATCTTAACAAATCAACTAAATTTTTCAGCTTATGTTTACTATTCTTATAATAAAAAAACAAGGTGTTTTAAATATTGGAGGTCAGCTAAAAAGCATGTCTTGTTCTAAAGGACCTATATCAACTTCATCTTTTTTAAGCTTTCTTTACATTTTGGCATGAACTGAAAAATTATGTTGTTGCGGTAATAATTCATCTTTCTTGACAAGCTCTTTATAATTAGATAGATGGAGGGCAGGCTCCCAGGTACATGATGACATGGGCCATCCTTTCCACTTGATAAGGTACTCTATCTCCTATGAGAAAATAAATAAGAGGTGAAACGGTCGGCTAAAGACAAGCCTTGGAACAGCACCTTTAAAACAGGCATTAAGTACTTACGTTGCCGCTTTTCCGCTTCCAAAGCAGTCTTTCGTCTTTCCGTTAAAATGAGAAAGTTATTAGAAAGCAAGATTGAGTTCGATGTAATAGTCTCCACTTTTGTTAGGACGTAGACATATGGACCCTCCGGCGCAACAAAACTGAGTGAAAACATCATCCTTATCGTTCTAGTAAAAACAGATGATACTTTACGTTCCAGTGCGTACTAAAGTATATTTTTAATTCAAAACAATCGTATCGTTAATGCGTACGAACTGGCAGCTGTAAATGTTTCTTTTGACCGATGGAAAATGGGCAAGCATTTGGTTTAATGTTTGGAAAAAAGTCGTTTCTGAACCTTTTCCGAGATAGTCGAACACTGCTAGATTCAATAAGAGGGTTATTATTTTAGAACGTCAGACTGAGTTATTTTTGTGACTGGACGCAATAGTCTCCACTATTGTCATGACGTTTCGTATCAATGTTGATTCGCATCAGAAGAAGCAAAGATCTATTGTAACAATTTCAATAGTTCGAATGCAGTAATTTGTTCGCATCTAATTCTTGCGTATACTTTACGACTCGCTATAATAAATGTGGCAGAATTGGAACGAAATGGCTGTTTTTCTTTACCTTTATTGAGGAATGTTGTGTTGTGATTGAAAAGAACATCGACAGAAAGCTTGCAAATAGAATTAGTTACCAAATACGATACAAACGATGCTCAAAAGGAAAGTTTGGTAGAGGGGGGTCCAAATCTGCGAAGGGGCTAATGCTCAAATCTATATCAATATGGGTTTCCCATGGGAAAACACCCATTTCCTGTATTTTTTGCACAATGAAATGCAAGTTACTGTGGCAGACATAAATGCCATCTGTAAATTAAATCCACTGGGTTATATTCTATATCTATCAGACTTCAGGAACATTGAACTGTTTTAACTTGTCCATTTCATTTCTTTCCTATCCTCGCCCTAGAGTAAGAGGAACTTAAACTGGTTTTGACAAAGTCCAAAAATTGGGGCATTTGAAGGCACAATGTCTCCACTGAGCAACCAATTTTGATCAGAACTCCTATATTGGCATTGAAAGCCACCGTGTAACTTTCGATTACTGTAGGAAAATTTGAAGGCAATTGATTTCGTTATCAGTACTAACATACATTGCAAATCTAACTACGGTGATTATCGATAATCACACACCTTTTGATCCGCCGGGTATGGATTAAAAGTATAGGAATCAAATTTTTCATGACGGAAGAGGCTACTCTTCTTTGTTTATTATTCCACCCCCTCGTAAGCAACGAAGAGCACTTTTTTGAATAATGTCGACCCAGTTCTAATATTTGGCTATAATTTTAGTCACCAAAATTAAGTGTATCTTAGCATACGAATGTCAAATAGAAGTCTTTGGTTTATTTTTCTCTTTTAATGTAATATAACACAGGAACAGCAACGAGGAAAAGAGCAAGAAGAGCTCGAGAGGTATGAGTATAAACGATAACGGGAAATTCGATGCGAACTTTTAAATTGGTGTTTAACCTAATTCATTTCACGGTTTTATGTCCAGGTAACACAAAACAGATCATCCGTGAAGCTACATTGATTTGAACATTGGCCTAAATTCAAAATTGAGAAATAGTGTTTCACTGAATCTTTTAACTGATATTTTCCATAGGAATGTTGAGCAACACTTCAGATACGAAAAGTTGAGTTATATTATTTGCAGTTTGGTGCGGAAGTTAGACTGATAATTAGGACAGGTTGAGTAGGAATGGAAACCGTGTCACTTTGGAAAATCTCATGAACAGTTGTAGCACTCAGTTCACTCTGACTCATTTACTGTGTTTGATGCATTCTCTTAAAGTGTGGATGAGCCGCTTAAAATTATGCACGAGCTGACAAAAGAAAGAGGTGAAAAGCTGTCTGAAATTGCCAGAGTAAGGGTTTTTTATTTCAAATTTTCCACTCAAATTTTCTTTCGCTCGTTTGCATTCTCTGTGAATTTTCACGAGCCAGCAAATGTGAAACAAAAATTGCAACAAAAAACAGTCTTTATATAGTAACTTATCGGGCGTTATCGTGCTTAAAAACTTTTTAAAACAATACAACGTAGGACTTGCAAATCTGTGCAAAGCAAGTGCTAGACACTGTTGTGATTTTTTGTAGAAACTGGCAAATATGGGGTCCCATATAAATTTTCATGTCTGCCTCAAATTTCCATGAAACCTCACAGACTCTTTGATATTGATATTCTTTTTATAAATGTTTATTAACAAGCAAGGAATTTTTTTCCAGTAAAAAGTTAGAAAGCATGCAATCTTCTAGGGGGTCCATTAGGTTTCATAATTGATAGAAGACAGGTTTCCATGGTTATACATTAGGTTACATTCGCATGACTTTTTTTTGACAACTAATTGAAGACATTCAAGCCCAAAGTAAAAAAAGGCCAGCGAGAGGCTAGAAAAAGAAAAGGAACTTAAAAAGGAGTCGAGTCAGGCAAAGAGCGATTTAGAAAATAAAACTGCTGAGCTGAGAACAAAAGCAGGAAATCTTCAAAGTACACAGGAAGACATCACTAAACTTGACCAGCAACTCAAGGAACAGAGGGTAAATTTGTTAAGAGTTTTTATTAAATTTTCATTCGTCATAAAACTTTCATGTTAATATTCGCGTGATGATAAAAAAAAAAACTTTTAGGCTTCCCTTGGCCATGGATACTTCTTTAATTAGAGAGGAATGGCTTTCAAGTGTTGATGATCATATTTGATTTCTTTCAGGTAATGAATGAAAAAGCTACGGAGTATACAGATGTGTTGAATGCTCACTTAAACAAAGTCCAGCAAGATTTTGATCAGCAACTTCTCAGCATTGATCGGCTGGCCACGGAAAACACATAGAAAGCTGCCGAGTTGAAGGCAGAGGAAGATGAGATAAACGGGCTGAGACAGGAAACACTGCACCAAAGTGCAATGGTAGAAACGAAAGAGAAAGCTGAGAGCCATTGAGTATCAGAAGATTGAGGTTGAACAACGGGAAGAAACTCTTAAAAAACAAGTTTCTGGCTTAGAAAAAGGTAACTGGAATGATGGTATGAGGAGAGAACGTTTTTTTTTTTTTGAAACTAGGCAGATCTCAGACATGTCTGGCTTTTTCTTTCCTCAGTTCCAGAGTAGCTCCAACAAGGCAAAGTCACTTTAATCGTGATTTTGCGTGTAGATTTAAGGGACTTAACAAGGTCAACTTCAAATTGCACCTTTTTCCCAAGTATTATCCTATTAAATAAGATATCTTTGTTGTATGATTAGTACTAAGGTGAGCTGCAATTTATGCAACGGCAGGCGACCAATTGGTATTGATAGCCTGACTCTATATCTTGAGATAAACGAAAAAACATCTATCAAATGTTTTAGTTCTTGTTAAAAGTTGATGTAATCACAAATCACGATAATTAGATTGTCTAACATACCTAATAATTAAGACTATTCAAAAGAGATTTAACTTTTACAATCTATAGAATTTCTCTTCCTTTATCTTAATCAGACCTTGAATCAAGCAGGAGGCAGGCTGAAGCGAATAAAAAAGCTATCGATGATCTTATCTGTGAGAGGGACATCCTTAACCAGGTACTTTACCCTTGTCAATTTTACTCTTAATCTGAGCTTGGGAGTTTTGGGTTTTGGTTTTTAGAGGAGGATGTTATATCTAATATTTGCTTTCATTTTTGTCAATTGATCTTTTAAAAAGTGTCGAATTTCTGTTATAAAAAACCTTAGGGACGTTGACGTTTGATGAAAAGGGAATATGGATTTTGTATGAAACATGGTTCTTTTTATGAAAAAGATCATCGCTTAGATAATTCTCCTTAGGTAGGCTAAAAACTAACAATTTTGTTTGAGCTAAATTGAATCAAATTTACGAGGGAAAAGGAATATGCATTTACCTCATGATCGAACAAATAAGCAAAGAATTGATAGATTGATATGCCTCGTGGCATTTGAATCCTGGCGAGTTTAAATTTTTTTAGTGCATTTTTATAAGGTTCAAGAGTCCTCCTGTACCATTTAATGGTAAAATTGAGCGATCACTATTTCTATCCTGTATGCTATGGAGTCAGGTGGTACATGTCGCAAGACCTCATCTGCTGCGTAATGAATGCACTTGGGGTATTGCCATTCCCCCTGGATTGAATGTTTGTCCATTGCAGGTTCCCCTCCTCCCCTGGACTGACTGTTAATCCATTAATCCAACCCACCCTTAGGAGGTCTTAACCCCCTAAGCACCGCAATTTTTCTCATCCTATGTTTTCGAGTATAATTAATAAGAGAAAGGATTTGAGTTTGTCTGCGTTCTTCAATTTACACAGGAGGAGATGGAAGCAAAAGAAAAAAAAATGAATATGTAAGTACAATGTAAATGTAAGGCTGTCTCATTTCTTGCATCAGGACCGTGCTTTTTAAGTGCTTTCATGTCTCTCGATCTTATTGCAAATGTATAAGCTAAGGAGTTATAGCTGTGTCAACTTAAGGTTAAAGTTTACTTACCTGAAAAACGCTAGGGAGTTATACTTGTGTCAACTTAAGGTTAATGTTTGCTTACCTGAAAAACGCTGAAATGACTAGACAACAGCCAAGTCTATCTTGGAATCAAATTTTGGCATCGGAAGCTGCCGGATTATTCGCACACAATCAATTATCAATCAATCAGTTTGGGAAGTTATAACCTTTCCCCTTATTTTAGACCCTGCAGCACCCCTCTGCCTTTCCTCGTAATATTTGATTCCTCGTTAAAAATTAACACTACATCTAGAATAAGTAAGAGCCATAAACATTTCTATTTGCCAGAAAATATTTTGTTCACATATTTTACCAATTTTAAAGTGTTCCCTAACGCCATGTGTT